CAGAGTTTACGAGACCTCTTCGACCAAGTTTGACTATCAACGACAAACATCGAGACCGGTGGTCACCAGAAGCGGCGGAGACGACGGCGGCGGAAGTGGAGGGAGATAGTTCCGATGAAAGAGCACAAGTTGAAGCTTTTCTGGATTTCAAGAAGCGATAACATAAAGCTTTCGCCTTGAACATCATCTAAAACCCCAAATCTCTCAAGGCTTCTCAATTAAAAGCCTCTCCAGGTTTTTCGATTTCACGAACCCAGTTGCAGAATCGAGACAAAGCATCGTACTTTACGACGGATACTAAAGGAAAGTAGAGAGTTTGAAGAGAATTTAACGCCGACGAATGAAAGTGTTGACTGAAGTAGAACGACGACGAGTATCAAAGCGCGGTTTTTGAAACAAAATCCTCCACAAATGCCTAAAACCCTCGTCGTCGTCGTCGTCTCTGTCAATTCGTGTTCGGTTTAAGATTGTGAACCGGTCGAATCAGATTTATGAATCTAAACCGGAATTTGCTGACGTAAATCGAACCGAACTGTTAAAGAGTTTTTAAAATGAGCCCAGGCGAAGACATTTCAATAGGCCCGCCCAACTACAATATATGTTACAAATATTTTTATTAATAATTCACACTTTTCTATATATTTTACCAAATATGTACTCAAGTTATAACACTGCAACACCAATAAAATATTAACTAGTAGACTACTTAATTCTGATAAATATTTGTGAATAGTAAATATTGTATATAAACAAATTGTATGACTTTTTTAAAAGATACCTAATATAATCAATCGCATATAAAATGAAATATAATCATTATTGTCCTTTATTTGTTCTAATTTCGTAGTCATATGATTAATAGCTATAATTCTCATTATTATTAACTATATGAGGTGGCTCTAAAACAGTTTTAAATAAAAGAAATATAAGAGAATGAAGGATTTATCTCTAATAATTTAGCATTAGGTGGGAACGTTGACAATTTGTGGAGGAAACGTATTCACAAAGTGCAAATATATTTAGCACTAAAAAGGCATGATTAATTTTTTGTAATTATTTACACTTGAACTTATTTTTAATAATTATATTAGTTACGAGTAACGACTCTTGTGCACGGGTGATTTTGATTTCTTTAGTTTTTGTTTCTACTCTCTAGTCTCTTGTACTTAAAGACAGAAACTGTGATTGGTTTGAAGCTTACAAATAAAAGAAGAACATATCACCGTTACAAAAATGCTGCAATTGTTTCCTTTATAATTATGCTATTTTATGCATGTCAATAATATGATTATTGAAGAAAAATCAGTAAGTAATATCATGCCAACATTGCATTACAAAAAAAGGATAATCAATACACTAGAATAAAAGGTCAATCATTCCTAATCTAACATACTTGAAGATCTAATTTTTTATATATTATCAATTGCTTTTATAAGACAAAATCACAAAACTAAACTACAAAAAAGTCTTGTTATATAGAAATCGTACGTTTTCCATATAAATGATTATAATGTTCCCTATGATTTGTATTTTTTTTGGTCGTCATACCCTTATAGGCTCATATAACCATGAATACATCTTGGTGGAGAAATGATCCCCGCAACTCCACAATCAACCAATCATTTTTCACGAAATTAATCAAATTTACAACCCCCTCCTCGTCTTTTTCATCTTCTTCTTATGATTTTCTTTCCGAGATATAATTTTAATTGTTTCCCATATGCCACTAACTAAACTTCCAAGAAATTTACTACGTTTTTCATTTCTATCAGTTTACTCCAAATCAACAGAAAAGTCTTCTTGTAAACGAATTTATCAAACAAAATAGACTTAAACTTAAATTTCAATAATGAATGGACGCTATGAATAACCAAAAATCTAAAATTTTAAAACATTTTAAAAATACGGTTCAAGATCTCCCGATGATTAAGAGAAAAAAAAATTACTCCAAAACAAATGAAACTAAATTTCAATCCCACTCCCAGCAAAATCATGACCAATTATTTCAATCTAATATATTGTAACAAAGACAAATACTCATCAACATACATACATACATGTGTCCAATGAAATATGGATTGGTGTAATATAGAGATAGGTAAATTAATACACACACTCACGCACGAGCTTCACGTGTAGCCCATAACTTTGGCCCCCACAGAATGATAACCGGCCCCACTAAGGCCCACTCATTAGACCGGAAAGATCGGTGGTTCGTTGGCACTGGCTGACTTGACAGTGGCTAGGAGGACCACGCCGGGCTCACGAGTCCAATCATATAACTTCTAGTGGGACCAACCTTAACGGCTTCAGCCACAAGATGAATTTGTGTTAGGATCGAACCAGCTTAACCGGTTGTTCTTCAAGTCCGGTTTGGGCAAAGAAAACGTGTGATATGATGGTTTGGATAACTGTCACTCTCTCAATTTCTTTAAACCTATCAGTGTACTCAAACAGTCGGTTTGTGGATCCCATCAGCGAAAATAGATAAAATTTTGGCTTTGAAAATTTAAAGTGGCATTCTCAAAACTCTATATAGTATATAACTATATATACACACGTAGATGATATATATAAATAATTAAATACCAACATATATAAAATGAGACATCCTGCAGCTATTTCTAGTACGTACATATTACTCTCGAAAATAGATGCGTGCAATATATATCTTTACGGACTACACAAAAATGATATAGAAATTGCAGGTATAATCATAGTGTTTGCAAGTGGAGAATTGGAGATAGAAGCGTACTGCTTAAGAACCATCCTTTTATTTTGTTTTCATATTAATAGTAATATCATATATAGAGACACTGAACTCACGGAAAAGAGAAAGAGACTCTGCCGTCAAAAGTATAAAATAAGGTCTAGCATTAGGTCATAATATTTTACTATAGAATCTAATGATCCATATGATCTCTAATTTCTCTGATATTTGCTTTATTTTTGAAGAAATTTAAACATATAATCTAAAAATTAAAGTCAACATGAAAACAATAGCTTAAAACTATAGTTAGGCGAAACCACATATCGATCGATTTTCATCGAATAAAAATATAACTAATGTGGTATATATAGATTCATGTGAATTTGATGCATGACCACAACAATTAATCGAGTGAAGAAAAAACGAAATTATCAACAAAAAAAAAAAAAAAAAAATTGATTGAACTTACGGATCAAGTTTTTGTTGAATAAAATGCCAATGTGGACCATATGGTATGAGTAGTATATAATATCTAGAAATGTAAATCAGGCATAAATACACCTATACGGGATTTGCTAAGAACTTAACCTAAAAGATTCGATTATCTAAAGAAGTTAATATTAATTATGTTTGTCTAAGTTCTTAACTTGGTATCACCTTCACTTATGAAAATCTAACTTCCAAAGTAGCTGTATTTAATTTTATTCTTGAAAACATTTGTTCTTATATACGCAGAAAATATATTCGAGAGTTTGTTTATTCTACTATCTCTCAAATTCTATATTAGAAAAAAATGAACAAATTAAAGAATCGAACCAAATGGAGATTTTGTCTGTAAGTTTGGTGGGGGCAACAGGAAGTGAAATGGGCCCAGCACCGAAGGCGATAAGGAGCTTTTTTGCCGCGATGATGTTCCCTGTGTTATTACGTAACCACTCATCTCACGCCACGTTATTTTATTACTGTTTTTTCCAAAATTATTTTTTACTTTTACTTCTGTGTATAGTTCACTTATTCTTTTTTATAACAATATTATCATCTATTAAAAGAAAAAAAAATTTATAATTCAAGGAAAATAAAATAAAACACTTCATATCAATTGTACAAATTTAACAAAGTATTAACTTCAAACTCGCCAAAAAATATGTTATGATGATGCATTCTATAGATTAACTATTGTCTACTGGTAATTTGTTTCTCTATAGTTAATCACTAGAAATAAACTATTTTATAGTTTTTGAATTATAAAAAGTAAAGTTGTAATAATAACATGTGAATTCAAATGTATTTATTTATATAGATGTGTGTATAAACAACTAGTACGTAGTTTAAAAAAAAAAAAAAAAAAAACTGTTTCGTAGTTCTGAACTTCTGATAATTTATTTTTAAGTAACCATCAAAAAAATACTTAATAAGAAAAATGTCTTATCTTTTGTTCATATCTAAAAAATCATCTGTAAATTTTATGTGAAAACGTACGATCTAATTCCCAATTTACAACTTTTTTAGATGGATTTATTCTAACTCTGTTTTTTAAAAACAAAACAGATTCAAACTTTACGATAAATTAAAATCCAATGGGTTCAAACCTTTTAATCCTCAAAAACTATACATAGATACTCGAAGATATCCTATCAACTTGTAAAAGTTGTTCAAGCAATATTTTGTTCAACTACAGTTTTTTTTTTTTGTTTGATAAAATCTTGTTCAACTTGCTCTGTTAAGTTTTATAGCTGAATATGTACAAGTGTTTCTGAACCTTTTCCGTAACTAATAAATCAACAAATGTCTTACAAGCTTACCGATGTAGTATCATGTATGTTCATATAAACGTAATCCATCATGACCAACTAAGACATGCTAAAACAAAACATATTGTTTTCTTAAAGGTTTCAAAAAGAACATGCGTATCAATTTCACCAAACAAATCTAATAAATAACACGACCATCGTATATTATATTGCTATTTGACGATCAACGTACGGTCAATTTTAGAAAGTAAGGATTATCTTATTGTTGTACGTGATATTTGAGACTTCGAGTTACATCAAGGCGGGAGAAGAAACGCATGGGGATGAAAGGTGTAAAATGGTTAAATTTTTAACAATTTTTGTTAATTGCTAAGACGTTTAAACTACAGAATTCTTGAGTTACTTATCTATTATTGAGATTATTAGTACATTACCTTATTCCATTTCTTTTTCTTTCTAGGTTTAGGGTCGATCGCTAATTCACTGACTACTTTGTATAATATATGTAACATAGAGATTAAAACAATTTCGATTCTATAATAATCTTCACAACTAAAGGCAAGTATAGTTTATTAGAAAAACGTCTCATTCAATAGTTGGTAGAGATAGTTTTAAAAGATCACATTACTTCTCTATCACACAGTGTAGAAAAGTGAAAACTTATGCAACACTTCAGGTAGAGAGAGAAGGACAGTGATAGCTTAGTTATAATTAAAGACCCCCAAAATCCAAATAGAATCTTCTCTTAATAAGCTATTGAAAAAAATATTCACAAAAAATAAAAAAGCATATTTCCTTTTGCTTGCATCACGAGAGCTTTTGTCTCTGTTTACATTTATGTGCCTATATAAGCCTAGAGAATCCACCGTTATCGGAATACTCGTTGTCTTTCATGATCTCAACATAAACAAGACAAAACGCTTTTGTCTCTTTGTCTAAATCTACGAGAGGAACGAAGAGAAGACAAAAGTATCGAATATTCTTATAAATCTTTCATAAATCAGAAGAAGATTCAAGTAAGTTTCTTTCAGTACATAGAGAACCCATGTCTATATGATTTTCAAGATGTTACAAAATCGTATATATAATCACAAATATTTCATATAAGTAAATATTGAACCCAAGCATATAAGTATTTTTTTGTTTTTTATTATCATTTTATGTGTATGTAGTTTGGTTCAAAGATATTATGAGTAACCAAACGTAACTTTTTTCATAATGAAATAGATCAAATATACTTTAATCATAATTACTCTAATCTTTTTCCTACATATGCTTAATTACTTGAATACTTGATATCACATTACTTCCATGCATATCTTTTCTATGTATGATAAAGTATATGTGTTACACTTTGCCAACATTGCAGAAATAAACAAATAAAAAGATCAAATGGAGAGTCTCGTACATATTCCTCCCGGTTATCGATTCCATCCGACCGATGAAGAACTCGTTGACTATTATCTCAAGAACAAAGTTGCATTCCCGGGAATGCAAGTTGACGTTATCAAAGATGTTGATCTCTACAAAATTGAGCCATGGGACATTCAAGGTATGTACGCATTCCAACATTCGATTTCGATTTCATCAATTAAATCATATATATACTACTACTGGTTATAAAGATTCAGATTCTTCTAATTTAAAATCAAGTGCTGATAATGTTATTTTTTGGAATATGTAGAGTTATGTGGAAGAGGGACAGGAGAAGAGAGGGAATGGTATTTCTTTAGCCACAAGGACAAGAAATACCCAACTGGGACACGAACCAATAGAGCAACTGGCTCCGGATTTTGGAAAGCAACGGGTCGAGACAAGGCCATATACTCGAAGCAAGAGCTTGTTGGTATGAGGAAGACTCTTGTGTTTTACAAAGGTAGGGCCCCGAATGGTCAGAAATCCGATTGGATAATGCACGAATACCGTCTCGAGACCGATGAAAATGGACCACCTCATGAGGAAGGATGGGTGGTTTGCCGCGCTTTCAAGAAGAAACTAACCACAATGAATTACAACAATCCAAGAACAATGATTGGATCATCATCTGGCCAAGAATCTAATTGGTTCGCGCAGCAAATGGATGTGTCTAATGGTAATTACTATCATCTTCCTGATCTAGAGAGTCCAAGAATGTTTCAAGGCTCATCATCATCATCAATATCATCATTACACCAGAATGATCAAGACCCTTATGGTGTCGTACTAAGCACTATTAACGCAAATTCTGCAACCACAATAATGCAACGAGATGATGGTCATGTGATTACCAATGATGATGATCACATGATCATGATGAACACAAGTACTGGTGATCATCATCAATCAGGATTACTAGTCAATGATGATCATAATGATCAAGTAATGGATTGGCAAACGCTTGATAAGTTTGTTGCTTCGCAGCTAATCATGAGCCAAGAAGAGGAAGAAGTTAACAAAGATCCATCAGATAATTCTTCGAATGAAACATTTCATCAACTCTCTGAAGAGCAAGCTGCAACAATGGTTTCGATGAATGCCTCTTCCTCTTCTTCTCCATGTTCCTTCTACTCTTGGGCTCAAAATACACACACGTAAGATCAATCCTCAAAACGTGTGTTATAGTTAATTCATGAGGCCATGCTTATTGATTACAAATCATACATATATGTCTTAACGATTACTGATTATAATTTTACACGAAAATTGTTTATTTATTATGATGTAACTTTATAGTTTTATGAGATATATAATATAAACTTTATAATTATTTCTAATGCATGATGGAGTAGCTGGTAAAAACAGTAGGCATAAGTATAACCAAAACATAAGCAATTTGACAAAGCAGAGTCTACAAGTTTGGGAACATAAAGGGATTACATAACCTGATAAAAGCACAAACACACTAAGACACAAGAGACAAGATTTGAGAGATGAGATTGATAAGACACACCAACCTCTTCTTCAAGCCACTCTCATTATTAATTTAAACATTCAGAACAAGCTAAAGAGGCTGATTAATTCTTCCCAGACACAAACACAACAAAAACAGCCCCTGAGTCACAAACACACAGTGCTCCATTCCATTATTCTTCTTCTGTTTCAAGCATCTGCACGATCTGAGTCACTCCGTCTGCGATTTCTTTGCGGATCAAACTGTCTGGCATATCGAATGTTCTTCTTCTCATCGACAATGATTTCCCCTGTGGTTGCGGGTCTACCACATCCAACATTGCTTCCAGCTCATCCACCATTGATCTTTTCGCTCCTCGAACCATTACATCAACTCCCTGATACCAAACAAACACAAGTTCCATGGTTCTTATTACTCAATACCTTAAAACCTTTAGCTTAATCTTATTCTAAATGTGTTATGATAATTTTGCAAACGCAAAGGTATTCCCTTTAGGATAAGGGCTTAAACTGATCCCATTGAAAAGCAGAACTAAAGTTTTGAAGAGTGAAACTAACCAGATTGAGACTATAGGAATTTTAAAAAGCAAGAAATACCTCTATGGCATCAACAGTGAGGAGGAGTACAATGATCTTCTCTGAGAATTTCTGGCGCTCCTCTGCATCACGAGCAATCAGGCGGCGGTAGCTGAAGTTGTGGAATGAAGCTCTTAGCTCCTTCAGTTTAGTCTTCGCAATAGCTAGATCACGAAGAGCACGCAATGATTTTGAACGACGAATCAAATAAGCTTTGAAGGCCCTCTGGATCATCACAGCCGCATATTCAGGTGGCATTTCCTTGTTCTTACCCTTCTTGGTCCTAACTGCTCCAGTTCTTCTGGAAAATGCCTATATAACCACACAACCATATAGTAAGTACAACAATCTTTGGTTAAAGATGACATTCAAATAAATATCTCACTAAGTCTATGTCTAAAACTTTATATTCAGTCTGTTTTGCTAACCTTACTACCACCACTCAAACACATAAAGGTTTCAACTTTTGAAGACACAAAATTCAACCTTATTTCAAGACCATGCCTATCGCTATCAAAATCAAACTAACTGTTCTCAAACAACTACATGACAGTGACTAAAGCAGAGTAAACAAAACAACAGTCAATTCAAATGATGAATGATACCTTCCTGAGAACGATAGCTCCATGTTCTGCCGACTCATCATCTTCTTCTTCCTCCTCCTCGATCACCACAACACGAGTTTTCTCCTTCTTCTTGCTCTTAGTCTCTACCTTCTCTTTCTTCTCCTTCTTCTCCTTCTCCTCATGTTTCTTCTTTTTCTCCCCTCCAGTAGAAGCCTTGATGATATAAGTATGCGAAATCTCTCCATTCTCTCTCTCACTCTTCACCTCCGTCGTCCAATTATAACTCTTCTTCTTCTTATTTTTATTCTTCTTCTCCGCTTCAGCAGCAGCAATAGCTTTCGCCTTCTCCTTCTTCAAAGCAGCTAACTTTAACCCTTCCTCATCCTTCTTCCCTCCTTTAATCTCCGTCGTCCATTTATACTTCCTCTCTCCCGAACCTTCAATCTCAGCTTCCAACTTAAACTTCCTCTCCGGCGGTCCTTGAATCTCCGCTTCCCATCTATACTTCCTCTCACCACTTCCCTTAATCTCCTTCGTCAATGTATACTTCCTATCACTCTTAGGACTAACCAATCTATCAAACTTAGATTCCAAATCAGAAACTCGGTCACAAAGATACTTCAATGGATACTCCGGGTCCAATCTCCGACGAATCACCTTGTACTTGCAAGACGACGGAGATTTCTCAATCTGAACCAGATCCGTCACGGTTTCAAATAGATCGAGAGGACTAGGTGATGAAAAATCGAAGAGATCTTCAACATCTTCGTCGACGAAGGAAGGAAACCCTAAGAACAATGATGAAGGTTCAACAATGGAGGTTTCACGGACGATGAGAGGTGAACACGTGTACGGATCGATGAGATCGAGTCTATGGAACCAACTCATGGTTTTGTTTTTAAGTGTTTTTTGACTCGGAAGCTCGTGAACTCAGCGAATCAGGTCACGGGCTATAACAAAGCTTTGACAGTGTAATAATAAAAGCTCTTTTGGATTGGTAGTGATGATGGCTTACGAATAAATGAGCTTTATTTAGAATTCGATCCAAAAATTTGACATCAAAATTTTTAAGACAGAAGATGAAGAAGACGACAAATTCTTGAGTTTAACGATGTTGAGATTGAATAACGAGCGAGAATGGTCAGAAACGGTGGGCCTTGAGGGTAAATTTGACATTTGCGAATGGAATTATCCGCTTTGGGCCGTTTCCATGCCATTTCAAATATAAAGTTACGAAAGCTTATTATATTAGCAATTACATATTAGTAGATCATAATGTTTTTTCATTAATTGCGTGATAATCTGGTTTGAAAAATTCTACATTCGTCGTATTGTGTTTTTTTTTGCTATGGCTAACCGGTCTGGTTCGATTAAAAGAAGCAGATAACCGCGTATTTAGTAGGAAAAGGACGAAATTAACCTTGAAGCGTGTAAAATATTACGTTGACAAGAGAATCTTTCGGTGGGATTACAACCTGGTAAAAGATGGCACGTGGGGCCTGGTTCCTCCACGTAGGCTTGGACAAAATATCTGAACCCGAAAAACCGAACCGAATCCGACCTGAAAAATCTGATCCAAACCCAAATCCAAAGTTTTAAAATACCCGAACGAATTCTAAACTTCACAATCCAAAAACTCGAACCCGAACTCGAACAAGTATCCGAACATATCTGAAATATAAATATATAGATATAATATATTTGTACTATTTATACTTGTAATAACTTAAGTGTCTAAATTTTTCGGATGTTAAGATATTTTTGATTGTTTTAGCTACTTTTGGTTAGATTCAGGTATAAAATACTTAAAATTTATAGATTTTTTGAGTATTTTCAATACTTTGCATAGAATAGGATACAAATTTTTTAATATTTGGATACTTCGAGTAAATCCAAATCCGAACCCGAAATATCCGATCCGAACCCGAATTTTTAAAATTTCCGAACGGATCTTAGTTTTCTAAACCCGATCCGAACCCGACCCAAATATCTGAACCCCCAGGCCTACTCCCACGTGAGTTACACCAAACAAATCTTACGTTATTTTGAAATGAGTTTCTCACTAAGACAAACAAATGCCAAGAAACTCGAAACAAACAAAAAAACATTAATAGAAAGCCAAAATCTATTGAAAATTACATAATAATCATTGTAATTCAACTGTTCCCATCATAATCATAACAAGTAGTTCAATAACAACAACAAAAAATATGTTACTAAAATTAAGTAGGAGTGAGAAAAATTGTTTTCTCATTCATTTGATCATAAAGATAACCATAGAAACTTACCATACCAGCAACAAAACCAACTATACCAAAACTAACCAAACCCCTAAACCGCTTCTTCTTCATCTTCTCGGTTTTTCTCCTCGCCCACTTCTCCTCTAACGACGCATCTTGATATTCTTCGTGTAACGATTCAACCAATGAGCGAACCAAACCGGTCTCATCAACATTGACAACACCACCACCACTTTCCAAACTCTGCATGTCCGGTTGGTTGATTGAACTGGTCAATTCCTTGAAAGCCTCTTCAAGTTCGGTTAACCTCTTAGCCATGCAACGAAGTTTGAGCATCTCTTCGTCTTCATCGTCCTTAACCGACGATATCTCCGCACATAAAAGGGTATGCGTGAAGAGAAACCGGAGTTCGAATTCCCGGTATGCATTAAGATCAACATTGCCAGAACCAAATTCTTGTAGCAAACACTCAAGTTCTTCGAGTTTCTTCTCCAAGATTGTGTTTGCTTTCGCCTTCGTCGTCTTCATCCTTTTCTTAAAACAATTTTTTTCTCCCATTTTTGGAAAGGTTTTAAACCCTTAAAAATAACTTCTCGTAGTGGATGGCGACGGTTAATGTGAAAACTACACGTATTATTATATAACTGTCCAAGGCCAAGGTTACGTACATGGCCTATGAAAATCCTATATAATAAATCCGTTGTTTGGATCCAACATGATATTTCTGCATTAACAAACATAAAACCATTAAATCATATTCAAACAAGGAATGAACCACTGATGAATTGCAATACCATTACATAAAAAACTATGAATTAGAAATGTATGAAATTGTAGAATGTATTTGATACCATCAAACTTTCATGCTACTATGTTATAAGTGAAAGTACTGTTATATTCACATCATTTATTAGCTAATTTTTTTTTAATTAGATTTAATCAATATTATCTGTTTCTTTTGCTTCCATAAATTATTATTATTTTTTATTCTAGATTTATTATTTATTGCAAATTATGAGAACTATTACATAGACGATTATACAACGGACAATTCCTTATTAGATCCATGATAGACGACACTTCCTTCTTCATGCTCTTGATGGACACTTTAAATGATCCACGATCTGACGATACTTCTCTCTGCGTAGAATCTTGGCGAACGGCTATAACTGTACATCGTTGGAGATCTCCTACACACTTGCTTCCATTAATCTGAAAATTTATTAATAAATCGTAATATCTGGGACTCGACCCCAGACCTCTTAGTGTAAAAGTATTAATTAACCCTTAGTGAACCAATAGATCAAAAGACTTCCAAGAGAAAAAAATAATCGTTTTTTAGTATTTTATTCATAACAAATTGGGTTAAAGGAACAGAGTCCAGCCCAAAAAGGCCCATAACAACCTTCTGAATGGTCTGGAAGGTTTCGGAACTGTTTCGAAATTTCACTTTCCCGCTCTCTGTGTTCCCAAATCCAAATGCCCTGGTTTTCAAAATCCCAAATCGAATCCTAATTATCTATCTTCAACTAAAAGACCCAAATTGACTTCAGATTCGTCTTCTGCTTCTCTTGCAACGTTTCAATTTCATGTACCTTCGATCTTAAATTCCAATTTTAAAATCGAATTTCTGGGGTTTCGCTTAAAGCTTCTCTTCTCGCCTTTTCTAGGGTTTAGGGGAAATTTAGGGGAAGAAGAAGGAAGATGCATATAAAAGAGATATGCTTGGAGGGTTTCAAATCGTACGCAACGAGGACAGTGGTTTCTGGTTTCGATCCACATTTCAACGCAATAACGGGTCTGAATGGTTCGGGCAAATCCAACATCCTCGATTCCATCTGTTTCGTTCTGGGTATCACTAATCTTCAGCAGGTTCGAGCTGCGAATCTTCAGGAGCTCGTCTACAAGCAAGGCCAAGCTGGGATTACCAAAGCGACTGTGTCGGTTACCTTTGACAATTCCGAGAGACACAGGAGCCCTCTCGGCTACGAAGAACATCCGGAGATAACTGTGACTAGACAAGTAGGTTCTTTGTTTCTCTTTCGTGTTACCCATCTTCCAATAGCTCTGAAAGTAGATAGCTTTGATGAAATATTTGCTTACAGTGACTTGTATCTTTTGGTGTTAAAGATTGTAGTTGGTGGTCGGAACAAGTATTTGATAAATGGGAAGCTAGCACAACCAAGTCAAGTTCAGAATCTTTTCCACTCGGTGCAGCTTAATGTCAACAATCCACACTTTCTCATCATGCAAGGGCGTATCACCAAAGTCTTAAATATGAAACCTCCTGAGATATTGTCCATGCTTGAAGAAGCTGCTGGAACAAGAATGTATGAAAACAAAAAGGAAGCTGCACTGAAAACGCTTGAAAAAAAGCAGACCAAGGTTGATGAGATTAATAAGCTCCTTGATCATGAAATATTGCCGGCTCTCGAGAAGTTGAGGAAAGAAAAATCACAATACATGCAGTGGGCTAATGGTAACGCAGAACTCGATCGACTAAGGAGATTCTGTATTGCCTTTGAATATGTTCAAGCAGAGAAGATTAGAGACAGTGCTGTTCTTGGAGTTGGAGAAATGAAGGCGAAGCTCACTAAGATTGACGAGGAAACAGAAAAGACACAGGAAGAAATACAGGAAATTGAGAAACAGATAAAAGCTCTGACTCGGGCAAAGGAAGCCAGTATGGGGGGAGAAGTAAAAACTCTGTCAGAAAAGGTGGATTCACTAGCTCAAGAAATGACACGTGAGTCATCTAAACTTAATAACAAGGAGGACACCCTTCTGGGAGAAAAAGAGAATGCTGAAAAGGTTAGAGACAAGACAAAATTGTTGTTGCCAGAAATGTTATAGATTCACAGCTATTTCTGGAGTATATAACTTCCTACTTGGTGTTGACAGATTGTTCACAGTATAGAAGATTTAAAGAAATCCGTAAAAGAGAGGGCCGCTGCTGTGAAGAAGTCTGAGGAAGGAGCGGCAGACCTAAAACAAAGATTCCAGGAACTCTCCACCACATTGGAAGTGTGTGAAAAGGAACACCAGGTAGTACCACTAAAAAAATATCTCTATTCCGTGCCAAATCATATACGTTTGTTTTATGTTAATTGGGTTTATGTCCCTTGATTCTTAGGGCGTACTAGCTGGTAAAAGTAGTGGAGATGAAGAGAAATGCTTAGAAGATCAACTACGGGATGCAAAGATTGCTGTTGGAACAGCTGGAACAGAGTTGAAACAGCTGAAAACCAAAATAGAACACTGTGAAAAGGAGCTAAATGATAGAAAGTCTCAGTTAATGTCAAAACGTGAAGAAGCCATTGAAGTGGAGAATGAACTTAGAGCTAGGAAAAATGATGTGGAACGTGTAAAAAAGGCACTTGAATCTATTCCTTATAATGAGGGTCAAATGGAAGCTTTGGAGAAGGTTAGCATGGTCACTTTAGTTGATTTTGTCTACTTCTACATAAAGTTTACATCTCTGACTGAAATATTTGTTTAGGACCGCGGAGCTGAACTTGAAGTTGTGCAAAGGCTGGAAGATAAAGTGCGTGGTTTATCAGCTCAATTAGCAAATGTTCAGTTTACATACCGCGATCCTGTGAGGAACTTTGACCGATCTAAGGTGAAAGGTGTGGTCGCAAAACTGATAAAAGTAAAAGATAGGTCCTCAATGACAGCGTTGGAGGTAGACTGGATAACTTAACATTTCACGATACACATTGTTGGATTTCAATTACCTGAAGTCACTTTGCTTCTTATTCTCAGGTTACTGCTGGTGGGAAGTTGTATAATGTTGTTGTAGACTCAGAAGATACTGGAAAACAGCTCCTTCAAAACGGTGCTCTTAGGAGAAGAGTTACAATCATACCTCTGAACAAAATCCAATCTTACGTTGTTCAGCCTAGAGTGCAGCAAGTGACTGCTAGATTAGTATGTGGATCTTTTGTTTGGTCCATTCAGATTTAATCTCTTTGTTTTCATTTTCTTTGCTAATTTTCTAATATATATTTTCAGGTTGGAAAGGAGAATGCAGAACTGGCACTTTCCTTAGTCGGTTATAGTGATGAATTAAAGGTACACACCTGCATATAGTAACAAGAATCTCTAATATAATCCTCTATTTTCAAGTTTTCAAGAATACATAATCCGCGTCGCTGATAATTTTCATGTCATGCATGAGCTGCAAGTGTTAAATTTCAAGTTCAAGTTCATATTTGTGTGAATCATGGTATTTTGCAGAATGCCATTGAGTATGTTTTTGGCTCCACTTTTGTTTGCAAAACTACTGATGCAGCAAAGGAAGTAAGTATTTCCCAAGCATTTTGTATTATATGTGGGTAGCGCCTTCAGCTTTTCTTTCTTGTGAGATGATGTCAGCTTATATATGACTCTATACGAGGAATATGTGGTGTGTAAATTTTTTTGATTGTCTAAGCTTGTTTTATAGTAACTCTTGACGGATCACATCTGATAATCTATTCCAAAGTTTTATCACTTTTGTTGCTATTTGATAGTTTTGATTTATTGCTTTTGCCTCTAGAGTTCAGTCTTTGATGTGCCCCTCATTGCTTCTTCTGCAGGTTGCTTTTAATCGGGATATTCGGACTCCAAGTGTCACACTTGAAGGTGATATTTTCCAGCCAAGTGGTCTTCTTACTGGTGGGAGTCGCAAGTATGTCTTTCTTTCTTGGATGCTTAGATCTCTAGTGAGATTCATCTCCTTGATTTCTTAGGACTCAAAAATAAAAGTATTTTGGTCATATGTTTTCCTTTGCCTTAGAGGTGGAGGTGATCTCCTTAGGCAACTTCATGACCTGGCAGAAGCTGAATCAAAATTACAAGGACACCAAAAAAGGTTGGATGACATTGAAGCGCAGGTAAACCCCTTAAGATATTCTTCCGCTTAAGTCTAAATACAAGTTGGAACTTAACAGGTGCTAACCATTTTTTGAAATCACTACGAAAATGATAAGGCAGTAGCTTAGTAATGCTCTCTGATTGCTCTATTTAAACTCCTCATGTCACACAGTTATAAAGTGCTTTCAGTATTTTAAACTTAAACTGCTGGTTTATCTTGACATGACAGATCAAAGAGCTTCAGCCTCTTCAAAAGAAATTCACAGATGTTAATGCACAGTTGGAGCTAAAAACGTACGACTTGTCCTTATTTTTGAAGAGGGCTGAACAGAATGAGCATCACAAGGTTTATATTTCCATCTTTTATATATATCTTTCAAGCTAAATTGTCTATGCTTCGTTGGTTTTTTCGTGGTACTTGAAGCACATATATTTATACTTTCCATCACCTGTTGTATACACAGCTTGGCGAAGCAGTAAAAAAACTTGAAGAAGAGCTTGAAGCAGCGAAATTCCAAATCAAAGAGAAGGAACTTGCTTATAAAAATTGTGTTGATGCTGTTTCCAAACTAGAGAATTCCATCAAAGACCATGACAAAAACAGAGAAGGAAGACTCAAGGACTTGGAAAAAAATATTAAGACCATCAAAGCTCAAATGCAGGCAGCTTCCAAAGATTTAAAGGTATTCTAGCTTTTTTGTTCAGTTACTTACATGCCATTGAATTTCTTGAATCCATTTTTCTTTTCCTTTTCTGGGTTATCCAGTTTTATCATGGAAACATTACCTTCTTTTGAATTTGCTGTAACATTGTCTCTGGTTCGTCATGCTTATAGAGTCATGAAAATGAAAAAGAGAAGCTTGTGATGGAGAAAGACGCAATGGGGAAAGAACAATCGTCCTTGGAGAGCCACTTAGCTTCATTGGAAACCCAAATTAGCACTCTGACTTCGGAAGTAGACGAGCAGCGAGCCAAGGTGACTGTAGTTTTGCTACTCTTGGTGAAATTTGTTGAAAATAAAGAAATATATCATGTTAATATATGATTCCCTTGCAGGTTGATGCCTTACAGAAGATTCATGATGAGTCTCTTGCCGAGCTCAAGTTGATACATGCAAAGATGAAGGAATGTGATACACAGATAAGTGGTTTTGTCACTGCCCAGGAAAAGTGTCTGCAGAAGCTTAGTGACATGAAACTTGAGAGAAAGAAATTGGAAAATGAGGTACTTTCTGTTTCTGTCTTTTTGCTGTTTCTAGGTTTTGCAAAGCTACAAACCATGCTTGTTTCTTCCTAACTACCAGTCTGATTTATGTTGCTTTTGCACTTCGTATAAAAAATCTATCGTATTCACTAGTCTTGCCTATTAAGAGTTTCTGCCTCGGGTTTCTATAAAATTTTGAAAGTTCAGTAATTGCGTCAAAGTTCAAACGTCTCAATGGGTAACATACAGCTGTTGGGGATGGTGAGTGAATTGTAATTGGATAAAAAAAATTAAGACTTGCTTGTAACGTGATTGTGATATAAAATTGGAAAAGTTGAGTAGTTTCTGAACTTTCTCTGCATGTCCAGGAATATACTTTCTGTGAAAACTGTCTCTTCTAATTTATTTATAGGTCGTAAGGATGGAGACGGATCACAAGGATTGTTCCGTGAAGGTAGACAAACTTGTTGAAAAGCATACATGGATAGCATCTGAAAAGCAACTTTTTGGAAAAGGAGGGACAGATTATGATTTTGAATTTTGTGATCCGTATATAGCCAGAGAAAAACTTGAAAAGCTCCAGTCAGATCAATCAGGGTATGTGTATGAGAATTAACGTTTTATCATTATGCAACCTAGATCGTCTTCACATTCTTGAAGTGCATCAATATAACATGCATTCTTCTTCTTTTCCTGGTTATTTATATCCCTCATGAAGCTTGGAAAAAAGAGTGAACAAGAAGGTTATGGCTATGTTTGAGAAAGCAGAAGATGAATACAATGCTCTGATATCAAAGAAAAATACTATCGAGGTCAGTTACAGAGGGCGGAGGGCAGAGGGCCTTTGCAATGTATTTCAATAGCTTCGTGTGCCATCACTAATGCAATTTTTTCGGTTTTTATTCCTAGAATGACAAATCAAAAATCACAAAAGTGATTGAGGAGCTTGATGAGAAGAAAAAAGAAACCCTGAAAGTTACGTGGGTTAAAGTTAACCAGTGAGTATCTTTCTTTTCTCCAACAATGAGTTTGTCTTTGCTCTTAGGCTCATGATCTCATACCTCCATGTCCGAAATGAAAATATGATATTAACCTTTGTTAAATACTTCCTTTTTAGGGATTTTGGATCAATCTTTTCAACTCTACTACCTGGCACCATGGCAAAACTAGAACCTCCTGAAGGCGGTAGCTTCCTTGATGGTCTTGAGGTGCGTGTTGCCTTTGGAAAAGTCTGGAAGCAGTCTTTATCAGAACTCAGTGGAGGGCAAAGATCACTTCTTGCGCTATCACTAATATTGGCATTGCTTCTCTTCAAACCGGCTCCTCTTTATATATTAGACGAGGTACGTCTCTGCTTTTCGATTTTTGATTCTCAGTTCCCAACTGATATTTCAAATTACCATAGAAGATCTCAAGGGTTTGTTTATGTTTTTGATGTGGATTTTCAATAACAATCAGCGAGTGAAGAGAGAAAATACTCATGATTTTGATTTATTCAGGTTGATGCAGCTCTTGATCTCAGTCACACACAGAACATAGGAAGAATGATAAAAGCTCATTTCCCTCACTCGCAGGTCTAAATCTCAATTTAAAGCCTTACGTGTGTTAACTTAATCCAATTTTGATCTCAAAACATTTTCTGCTTTTAAAACTCGATTCTTAACAGTTTATCGTGGTTTCGCTGAAAGAAGGAATGTTCAACAACGCCAATGTTCTTTTCCGGACAAAGTTCGTTGATGGAGTTTCAACAGTCCAAAGGACAGTAACAAAGCAGACCAAGTGATACGTCAATGTATTCCAAACGCTATCCATCACTATGCAGATTTTGCAATCCCATTTAGAATTTTATAGCTTAATGTTTTATTTTGTATGTCTATTATATACATGAAGCATTTGGCCGTTTCCTTCTAGCATTCTCTTTGTATTGAAAATCAAGATCTTTGTGTAGAATATGACCACTTTAGGCAATGTACTGCACTGGAATATCTTGAATTTTTTTGCAATCTATGGTCCTGATTATAGGTCTAGAGACAGCAATCAGACGACTTTGCGATCCCACTTCAAGCCAGATGGAAACAGACGTTTCAGATATCAGAGATCTCCAGCCATCGCCATCAGTTGCCTTAAGAAAAGGACCGCCTCAGAACATATAAGATATGTTAAGAAGATTGATTGCTAATAAGATGATAGATTCAATGAGAGAGCTTGTGAAAAGAGGAATGGGAGTTGGGGGTTGTGAGGAGAGCTTTCAGAGAATTGGAAAACATTGTGATTTTTTTTTTTTGGAGTGGTACGATATTTGTGTGTACAGATTCGTTAACGGTTAGCTTTGGAGGCTCGATGCAATCAACAACCTGACAACGGAAAGTAAGATCATGTTCTGGAAAGAGTGCACCCCCAAAGAGAGCTTGATTAGCTGAACCAACCTGAGACTTAGACAAATTGACGTTTCTGCACAATCTAGTTTTTCTTTTCATGTATACAGTTTTAAAGATATTCTCAGACGTAATTCACCAAAGGTTCTTTTATCATTCACTAATGCTTTCCAAAGTAACTTTATGGAAAGAAATGGAGGAAAACTGAATAGAGAAAATAGAGAGGAACATCACAGACTCAGTGTTGGAGAAATAGATCATCCCTTTTCTCTTCTCATCGAGCTCCTCAATCACTTCTTGATTTTGGATTTGTCGTCCTAGGAAAAGCGAAAAATTTCTGTTAGTAATTGCACACAGAGCTATTGAAATACATTATTGGGCACTCTGCTATTGGTAACTAACCTCGTAGGTAATTTTTCTTTGATACCAGAGCATTGTATTCATCTTCTGCTTTCTCAAACATAGCAATAACCTTTCTTGTTAACTTTTCTTTCTAAGCTTCACGAGGGAAATGAATAACCAGGAAAAGCAGAAGAAGAATGCAAGTTATATTAGCAAACCATGAATGTAAAGATAATATAGGTTGCATAAAGTTAAAATGTCAATCCTCTTACACATACCTTGATTGATCTGAGTGGAGGTTTTCATGTTTTTCTCTGGCTACATATGGATCACAAGATTGATCCGAAATCCCTAAAAAAGAAGGATTTACCAAAGGTTACTATCATATTTTCATTTCAGACATGGAGGAATGAGATCATAGCCTAAGAGAAAAGACAAACTCATTGTTGGAGAAAAGAAAGATACTCACTGGTTTACTTTAACCCACGTAACTTTCAGGGTTTCTTTTTTCTTCTGATCAAGCTCCTCAATCACTTTTGTGATTTTTTTATTTGTCATTCTAGGAAAAAAAAACCGAAAAAATTGTGTTAGTGATGGCACACAAAGCTATTGAAATACATTGCAAAGGCCCTCTGCCCTCTGTAACTGACCTCGGTAGTATTTTTCTTCGATATCAGAGCATTGTATTCATCTTCTGCTTTCTCAAACATAGCCATAACCTTCTTGTTCACTCTTTTTTCCAAGCTTCATGAGGGAAATAAATAACCAGGAAAACAAGAAGAATGCATGTTATATTGATGCACTTCAAGAATGTGAAGACAATCTAGGTTGCATAAAGATAAAATGTTGATTCTCATACACATACCCTGATTGATCTTACTGGAGCTTTTCAAGTTTTTCTCTGGCTACGGATCACAAGATTCAAAATCATAATCTGTCCCTCCTTGTGATCCGTCTCCATCCTCACTATATAACCTATAAATTTAGTGGAAGAGAAAGTTCTCATGATAAGTATATTCTTTGACATGCAGAAAACTTGTTCATGTAGAACTTCTTATCCACAAATAAAAAGAAGCCAAATTTTCCAATCGCAATCACATTTAGAAGAAAAGTCTTATTTTTTTCTATCAAATTTCCGCTTCACTCACCATATCCAACAGATGTTTCATATCACTGAGACGTTTGACACAATTACTGAACTTTCAAAATTCTAAGGAAGGAAACCCAAGGCTTAATGGCAACACTAGTGGATACGACTAATAGCATTTTTGTATAAAAGTGCAAGAGAAACACAAAGCAGACTCGTAGTAACAAAGAAACAAGCATGGCTTGTAGCTTTTTCAAAACCTAGACACGACAAAATGACTGAGACAGAAAGTAGCTCATTTTCCAATTTCTTTCTTTCAAGCTTCATGTAACTAAGCTTCTGCAGACATTTTTCCTGCTCAGTGACAAAACCACTTACATGTGTATCGCATTCCCTCATCCTTGCATGTATCAACTTGAGCTCGGCAAGAGATTCATCATGAATCTTCTGTAAGGGACAAACCTGCAGGGGAATCATATCTTATTAGGAGAAGAGTTACAATACAGAATCTCCTTAGACGATCTAGTTGTGAAATATTTTTTGAAACCAAACGGATACAAAGGAAAAGATCACAGTGAGCAAAGAAAGGAATCATTTCACCATAACCTTATAGCATTATTTAAGAAGTAAAACTCACAAGCGCCTTCTTATAATCTGTGACAAATATTTGCTAACTGTCTGATGCCCAAATGCAATCCTAACACAAAATAGACAGCTTTAGGCTAAGAGATTCATAATTCCGAGTAAAGGTCTCAAATTTTGATAAACCCATGAGCAAACAAAAGGAACCATTTCACCATAGCATTACAGCATTATTGAAGAAGTTCAACTCAAAAGCCTTGGCTTTTAATGTTATGCATCACAAACCCACTGTAAGATTCACAAAATCCAAGTAAAGCTCTCAAATTTCGACAAATCCAAGTAAAGGTCTCAAATTTCGAGAAACCCATGAATCTCTATCAAGAGTGGATATGTATTAGCATCAGTTGGTAATTAAAAGTGTCTGCTTGAGAGCTATTGCAGAGGAGAAGTAGACGAGATAGATTAGATTGAATACCTCATTTTTCCAGCTTTTTTGCTCTCAAGCTTCATGTTACTAAGCTTCTGCAGACATTTTTCCTGGTCTTTCAATCCCAGACGACAATTCTAAAACAAAATTACATGTGCTATGCTTTGTTTCCCACCGTGAATCTCGAACGGAACTTTTTTTTTACGTCTTGGACATTTCACTTTACTCTCTTAAAGCTTCTCCTTTTATCGATTATCGTATATGTATCTCAATAAACAAATAAAGAAAAAGAATGGGATTAAAAAAGGAACGAGAAAAGAGAGGTATATTTTCCATTAAATGCTTTCTTTACAACTTTTCTTGACAAAATGTCGATTCCACCATTGATATTGAAAGGAAAAAAAAAGCCAATCCAATGACTATGTATGTACAGAGACTTTATGTACAGAGATCTCGAAATCTAAAGAAACTTATGTACAGAGATCTCGAAATCTTAACCCCAAATTCAATGCCTATGTACAAAGATTTCGAAACCCAATTGTTTACTGACAAAGATCCCCTAAACCAACTATGATGGCAATAGACACCATTATGATGAGCCAAAGAAAAGCAGGTTGGATCTTTAAACTTCTTTTTGGTAATTCCTCGGCCAGATACTTCATAGCAGCCCATGTAACCACACCAGTCACAACAACCTCTGTAATGATCCTTCCGATACGCTCCGGTACAAGAACACCGGCAATGAGAGGAAAGAATCCTCCGTACACGAAAATAACAACGGCGTACGTAGCTTCTGACATACAAGTCCAAAAGTCCTTACACTTCAAAGCATAGTCCAAGAACGTTTGGATGAACACTCCAAACCCTACACCTACAAAGATGAGGATGGTAATCCAAAAGGATTGAATCGTTCCTTGAAGAGCAACTGAAACCGGAACCGCCATAACCCCTCCAACGATGTATTTCACGAAATTTATGACATCTTCCTCTCTCTGAGCTTGGAACGCTAACGCTGCTTCCGCCATTGTTGATCGGAGAAAAAGCTCGGAGCTCGAGAGTCAGAGAAAGAGAAGACTATTAAAAGCGGTTATGATTTGGGATTAAATGGGTTTACTAATTTTCGAGGCTTTAGTTCGGCTTTAAATATATCTACTTGACTATTGGGCTGGGCTATTGGGCTTTTAATATCGGGCTTTTTTCTTTTTCGGAGTAAGTTTTTTTTTCTTATGTACGTCAAATTTTTATAATGCTAATAGTTAGGCCTTGGCAAATAAACCGATCCGAATGTACCGAACCGAAACCGAAGCAAAAAAAATTAAACGGAATCGAACCGAAAATTTGAAAATAACCGAATAGATACTAAATTTTATAACCGAAATAACCGTAACTAAATCGGTACCGGATCGAAATACAATCAAAATAATTAGTTATTTATAGACCAAATAATCAAAAATACTTGAAAAATATATAAAAATAGTAAAAATAGTCGAAAATAACCGAAATATATCCAAAAATATATGAAAATACCCAAAAATAACCGAAATATCCAAAAATATCATAAGCAAAATAACCTAATGGATACTAAATTTTAAAACCGAAAGAACCGGAACCGAACCGAAACCGAACCGAAATTTCAAAATATCCGAATGGATACTAAATTTTAAAACCGAAAGAACCAAAACCGAATAGACCCAACGGATAACCAAACGGATAACCGAAAGCCCAGGCCTACTGATAGTTATAATGATACGCTAGAAAAAATTTGGCAGAGAGAGGAAAGGCTTTTTGCTTAGGCACCTCTAGATGAGCTAGAGGGTTTCCACCTTAGTAAAATAAGGCTTTAATCAAGGGGAATATTTCCATTTTTCGCCGGATTTGGGGAAGATTTTCTTGTTATCGTCGTAATCTTAGGTAATATTTTATATCTTTTGCGAAGTTTAACTTCATTTGACAACCTCCGCTGCAGCTTGCTTCTATCGTCCAAACCTTCGACACTTTGAAGCAACTATAAAGGAGAATTCTGGTTTGCGTGTAGCTCACGTATGGAGTTTGCTTTGGACAAAGCTCTACAAGAGATGTCACTGGAAGATGACAAACCAATCGTTCTAAAAAACCACCCCAAGTACAGTTTCATTGTGCGGAATGGCTCCAATATCATCGGAAAGCTTCTTTGTCCAGAAAATTAGAAAATGTCAAGTATGATACATGAGATGCCACGACTGTGGCGAGTTAATAGCAGAGCAAGAGGAATTGCCCTACCAAACGATAAATTTCAGTTTATCTTTGATTCAGAATCAGATCTATTGACGATTCTCGAAGCCAGAGCTTGGACTTTCAATGACTGAAGTATGACTTTGGAGAGATGGATAGAAAACCCGTCGGAAGACTATCTAAAGATCATTCCAATTTGGATCAGATTAAGGAACATTCCGGTTAACTATAATACTGAAGAAACAATCCAAGATTTTGCAGAACACATTGGACAAGTAACATATGTGGCTTTCAATCCTTTGAAACCGAGAAGCAGAGGCTATGTCCGGGTGCGTGTTCTGTTTGACATTAATAAACCATTGAAGAACAGCAGGGATCTCTAGCTCCCGACGGGAGAGATACTTAGCATTGGAATTGAGTATGAACGAATGAGGAAGAGGTGTTACCAATGCTTGCGCCTTACTCATGACAAGGAACGTTGTCCTTTTAACCCTTCAAACCGGCAAGCAATTGCTACGGGAGAGGCTAAAGCTGCGACCATTATTCTGAGTCACTTAATCCCTAAAATAAGCAGAGACGATCCTCTGTTTGGAGTGCTAACGGATGACGATGTGGGTATTGATCTGGTTTCGGGGAAACCAAAAATCGCAAAGGAAGTAATAGATGAGATGAGGCAGTATTTATCGGTTGTTGATCAACAGGAGAAAGATTCGAATTGAGAGGGTCCGTAAATCAGTTTGGGACCTCGAGAACGACCTTCAAGGTCAAAAAACTCTCTTGCGCTTGGATGCTTCTACAAGAATCACAACTGACATCAATAAAGGGAAAGGGCTGGTGTTTGATTTTGAAGATTCAAATAACTCCACAGCAGGTACTGCGAACTCATCACGCTTAGATATCACTAAAGGCAAGCACGAAATTGTTCAACTGGCAAGACCTTCCTCTTCTAATCTCTATGCTATGGCCTCCGAACAATCTTGTGGTTCTACGGTGTTTCAGGGTGGCTCTGCAGCTAGCCCATCCGGAAACAAAACTAAACCTACTAAGACTAGGAGGCGTCCCAATCAATGGAAGAGGAAAGCTCAAGCACGTGAAAAAGCCTCAGGCCCAATAGTATCTCAAGATGTTAAAAAGAATGAAGCAGCCATGGTGTATAAGCGAAACGCTACTGATGAACTCGCAAACTCATCAAAACTCGCCAAGTGCAATGAAGATAAGGTGGTTCCGCCGCAGCAAGCATGCGCTTTATGAGCTAGAATTTTCAAGGCTTGGGGGGCACCTTGACAATTCATACTTTGAAGGAAATGCGGCGTGAGCATTTTCCGGATTTCTTATTCTTCCTGGAGACTAAAAACTCCAGCAATCACGTGAAGAAAATTCAACAATGGATGGGCTATGATCACTCTCATATTGTCGATCCTATCGGCTTAAGTGGTGGGCTAGCACTTTTCTGGAAGACGGCATATGAAGTTGAAGTTATTAGCTCGGATCATTGGATCATTGATGTAAAAGTTAAGCTTGGATCACAACAATTCTTTATTTCTTGTGTTTACGGCGATCCTGCAATTCATTAAGGTATTTGGAATAGATTAATTGATATTGGAGTTTCTAGAGATGATCCCTGGTTGGTTTTGGGAAATTTGAATGAAATTCTTAATAACACGGAAAAGCTTGGTGGACCAGCACGGGCGGAATCATCTTTCTTTCTTTTTAGGAATATGATAAATGATTGTCGTCTATGGGAGGTCCCAAGTATTGGAAACAGGTTCTATTGGGCTGGGGAAAGTAACAATCAACGGATACAATGTTGCTTAGATCGAGCGCTTGGGAATGAAGCTTGGTTTCACCTATTCCCACGGGTTCAAGCAGAATTCTTAGAGCGTATAGGCTCAGATCATCGTCCTTATTTCTCCGATTTGTGAGTGAAAATATCTCTAGATCGGGCCGGTTTATGTTTGATAAAAGGTGGACGTCTAAATCGAAACTCTTAAATATCATACGAGATAGTTGGAATAAGAAAGGCAATGAAGGTCAGACGGACATACTACATCGCATCTCTGAATGTAGGAAGCTCGTCTCTCAATGGAAGCGCAACTCTTCTCAAAATTCTAAGGAACGAATTAAACACATGCGTATGAAGTTGCAGCCACATCATGGTTTGACGAGATCACTTAAATGGGATATAGCGGAAGCTTACAGAGAAGAAGAATTGTATTGGAAATTTCGCAGTAAGGAAAAATGGTTGAGTGACAGTGACCGGAACACAAAATTTTTTCATGGTAGTGTCCAAAGAAGAAGAGTACAGAATCGAGTTCTTTTTTTTATGATAATGATACGGAACAGTTTGCGGAAGGATCGAAAGGAGAGATAGCGGTATAGTATTTTCGAAAGATGTTCTCTAGTTATAATCCGTCTCTTATCTCAGAAGCTTTGGACGGCATGACACCACGAGTTATAGAGAGTATGAACACGGACCTTACCAGCTGGTGACAAGTGACAAAATCAAGAAAGCAGTTTTCAGTATTCGAGACAACACCCCTGGGGCCGATGGCATGTCTGCTCACTTTTATCAAACCTATTGGGACATTGTTGGACTGAAAGTCATTGTTGAGGTGCAGCAATTTTTTCAATCTGGTATTCTTCCATCTGAATGGAACTTTACGCAGATTTGTTTGATCCCAAGAAAGGTGAATCCTTCAAGAATGACTGATTTACGGCCTATAAGCTTATGCTCGATGATTTACAAGATAGTCTCAAAGATTTTATGTGCACGGCTTAAGATTTTCCTGCCTAGTTTAATCTCAGCAACTCAAAGAGCCTTTGTATCTGGAAGACTCATCTCAGATAATATCTTTCTTGCCCATGAAATGGTCCATGCTTTAAAAATAAGTCCACATTGTGATGAGGACTTCATAGCCATCAAAAATGATATGTCAAATTATGATAGAGTGGAATGGAAGTTTTTAGAAGAGTTGCTCTTCCGGCTTGGTTTCAGTATCCGTTGGGTCCCATGGATAATGAGTTGTGTTA